AGGCAATCGCCCACCCCATCGTCTCAACTCTCATATCCCTCACGGCCTCACCTGGACTTTATTCTAAGGCCCATTAGAATCCTCTTGCGTAGTTTCTAACTTCCTATTTTTTTAATGTTATTGACTACATTACAATACATTATACGGAGTAATTTTATCTCAGATTTTATATAGCCTTCTACTCTCATGTATCACCTCTTGACAAGTAACTCCTAAAGATGATCTTAGGCTCAATCTCCGCCTAAAATATACTAAGAAATCTCCACATGGTGCAATATTTGTTAAACAAAACCTCCCAAAGGTTAGTTGGTCTCTCCGCCCTCTTTGTTGAAGTAATATCTCTGTTACTCACATTATATTCAGCTGAGATGGAGAGTGATGTTTCTTGCCAGGTTTTTGACGGGCTAGCAGCTCGGATAACAACCGCGGTTCAAGGCTATCATCCTACATCAAAACTATTTGGGGAGTGTTGTTTGCAGGTATGCTATCTTTATTGCTTTTTATGCTGATTCATGAGGTATGATGTAACTAAACCATATTTAGGGATGGAACTGGTGACACGAATATGAGTATTGTATAAGTGAATAACAATAGAAAGAACAACCTGAGAGTCTAGATGGCGATTTCTTAGAAACATAATAAAAACACCTCATGGGCAGTATTAAAAATAAGAACTTTTAAGTCTCTCAAACTTTACTGCATTCATAAAAGAGTACTAATTTATACGGAGAAGCAAACAAACTAATTTCATTATGTGATCTCAATTGTTTGAGTTGCTACCACAGTTTGTTATATAGTTGTTCATTTACCGGGGTGGCAGTTATATTCTTTGGATGTGAGCATCCCAAGCGTCATGATATATGGAGTTTCTATTGCTGAGTTATTTAATTTCCTTCCACGTACGTTTGACCAGCCTTGCTTTTGAAGTGAAATGTACTTCCCCAGTTTAGTCGGTATTAGTTCCTTGCGTATTCCTCAACACCCAAACTAGAATATTGAGCAGATCAGGACGACATGTGACAAAGTGTAAAATCGATAGTCTCAAAGCTCCTAGATACACATTTGGAGTTTGAACAGACGTCTTACAAATGAAAAAATTCACTAAGCCTAGAATTGTAATGCTATTAGGCCTGGGATTATGATTAATTGGAATGATTTGTTTATTTATATTTATTTTTTTAATACTCCTCTAAAAGGGAGATGAAGATCTCTTCGACTCAGGTATATATTAAAAAAAGGAAAAAAACTGCAGCGGTAGGTTTTATAAGGTTCCTCTTGCAAAAGTTATTCCATACACAGTGAGCTTTGTTCAAGGTTTAATAGATTTTGGTGGCTAAATGATATGAGCTGTAATTTGGCAGGTCCCAGTTGGCGTGGGTGAAGCCATGACAGTGTTAAAACATCCATTGCCCAGTGCACAAGGGTTTGTGGGTTTTGAAAAACAAAAGGTGTGTGACTAACAAAAGGCGAGTTAAAACATTCATTGCCCAGTGCCCATTGTCCAGTGCTTTATTTATTTCTCGATTCATTACTGATTTGATATTCGTCAATTTGTTTTTTTATTACTTTTCAGATGAAAGAAGAAAATAGTCGAAGGAGACAACGGCGGGATTTGGATTATGGTTCGAAACCCTAGCTCTAGAACATGAATCTTTGATACATAAAACAGCAAGAAGATGCAGTGATCGAGTAGGAACGCAAAGAGCGATGGTCTTGAGAACTACCCCCGGCTAGAAACTTGTGACGAGATGGTACAGAAACGAAGCCAAATTCACAGTCCAACCATTAGTGTGTTCAAGGGTATACTCTTTAACTCCATATTTTTTTTCTTTAGTTTCCTCTTCCTTTTTGTGTTGATTTCCTGTTTATTATCCAGTTCTAGTTGTATTGTGTATGTTTTAGGGCTTGAACAAAGATGAAATTATATTTAATCCTGTTAAATGATTGATTTCGTTTATATTTTAAATATAATGCACTCTTTGACTGTTTTTTATATGTTTTGTTTAAAGCTTCAGGAAAATTTTTATGTCTTATTGTTTAATTGATAATTTTGGAGGCTGTGTCTCAATCCTTGCCCGAAAGTGGCAATCTATACTCCTTATAAATTTGTTCAGTTTGATAATATGAATTTTTTGTTGGTGACTTTGTATAGTGTTGTTAATTTGATAATCTAAATTTTCAATTTGTGATTTTGGAGGCTGAATTTGAATCCATTCTTAATAACAGTTTGATAATGACCTTGTCCTTTCGTCCATTCCTGTTTCACGCTCCTATGTCCACACCAACATGGCCGGCTTCGTCAGTCTTCTAAAAGTCTGCAAGAGCGGGAACCCACAACTCGCCATTGTCTGTGCATCTTCAAGCTCCGTCTACGTCTTGAACTCCAAAGTTCCCTTTTCTGAATCGGACCGAACAGATCTGCCGATGAGCTTCTATGCCGCCACCAAGAAAGCTGGTTAGGCAATCGCCCACCCCATCGTCTCA